TATATATATATATATATATATATATATTTCTTGATCACGCGCCACGCATGAGAACAACGAATTACAGACAAACACAAGCCTCTTACATATATATACACACGCGCGAACATACACTAAACCGGACAAAACTGAAGTTTATTTCAAAAGAATGGATAATTACAAGTGAATAACCTCCCTGAATTCAGAAGGACATATAATCACAGAATCCAAACATAACCCACCTTTGGTGTGCGTGCAATCTATCTGAAGCATCGAGAACTTAACTCTTAGGGCCGAGTTCGGATTCTCCACGAAGAAATCGCCGACGTGGTACCAAACCCACTTCCCCGACCCGTCCACGTGTCTCTCCGACAACGCACGCTGACCATCCGACGTGGACAGCTCAAACCGGACCGGTTTGATGTTCCAGCCATGCACCTGCTCTACGTTACATGTCTTCCTTCCAAACCTCCTGCAGGGCTTGCCTAATTGTATCTTAAACAGAACACTGTATTTCCCTTGTGGAAAATTGAATTCGATTTCTCCCACCGCTTCTAACCACCATATTTGTTGGAGATAAGCGACAGATCCGAATCTATACAACAAAAAAGACATAAAAACGTTATAAAAAAGACATTGATTTATTCGATTTTTTATTTTAATTTGTACAATATGGTCCCATAGATTGGCATATACAACATTAGCCTCACAAGTAAAGTAACAAGGGAGAAAATATTCGATCTTATCCATTTGAGCGACTGAAATACGCAATTGATAGGAATATATATATTTTTATTTTGAGGCCCCATTGGAGATCCGTAGACTTACTATTCTCATTAAAAAATAAAATCTAATAATCAAGTGTTCTATATAAAATGGATAAAACTATCTTAGTGGGTACGATTATTCTAAAAGAAAAAAAATGCCAAGATGCGATTTAGATGGACCGTTTATGCTTTTGCAGAATATTATATATATATATACGTATGTATCCACTATCCACCATCTTTTTTTTTCATTTCGATTAGTTGTATTCGTTACATTCGTATGGGTTTCCTGAAATGAATTGGTACAATTTGAAGAAGGTATATAGTACATAAATTCTAATTATTCATAGTTTAAAGTCTACATATTTAGTTATAGAATATTGAATCTAATGTTTTCATATCCACAAGCAAATGATTTCAAGTGAGTTGAATAGACAAGAAAACGATATTTAACTATGATTTTTATAATTAGGAAACCTATTTTTGTTTAATAAATAATTATCTATTTAATAAGATAAGATTCTATGACTCGTCCCCCTCAAGTATCTTACGGTTTTTTTTTGCTCCCTGACTATCTTGTTTTTGTCGCAGCGTATAATATATATATATATATGACATCCAATCATCAAATTTAGAAAAAATGGATAAGAATAGGATATTTTTATTTTTCATGTTACACTAAACAAAACCACCTCATTGAGCTTATCTACGGAACTATAAACACTACCCCTTCACACATACATACATAAGGGATCATACGTCATATATATATATATATATATACACACACACACACACATTTCGTGTAGAGTTCATCCTTTGGGAATAGAAATTTAAATGGAAAAGCTTACCTTTTATCAATTTGGTATATGGGTTTATTTGTAGTTAAGTTAATAGTGTTTAAATTCGCAATTTGGCCAAACTTATTTATTAGAAGGATTAGTCAATAACTTGTTTCTAAACCTGTTGTTTGTTCAACAAATGAGAAGAGTAATAGGACTACGAAATCAATGGTGTGCAATCTTCAACCACAAGAAGTCAATCTTATTCTTATTATTATTTTTTTTAAAAAAAAATCCTATATATTTTGCAAACTAGTAAAATTAAGGATAATAGTTTTATATTAAACAAAATCATATTATATATTATAAAAAAAAAGGGAGAACCTGGATTCGTCAGAAGGGATATGTTCCCAATATCGTCGGTCATCGATTCCTGTAATCTTCATCGCCTTTGGTGAGATCGCCACTACCACTTTCCCGCTTCTCGGATCCACCCATGCCTCCTTTACATTTTCCAATCACAACCCAACCAAATTCAATCTTATTATTAAAACTATATATATATATATATATATTAATATATAACAACACACTATCCAGAAAGAAACTTTCTAAGATATTGTCTCACAAAAATCTGACATTTACGACATCCTTACACGCGCACATACACACACACACACACACACACACACATATATATATATATATTTCAAAGTGTTACCCCATCAGTCCAAGATTTCAACATATACTTAATTACACGGTTATATATCATATATAATTGTCAATATTCTGGACGTATATAAAGTAATTACCTTTGTACCGGAATCGAACCGATTTGGTCGGGAGAGCCTGGCGAAGACATCTTTCATGTTGTGGTTGGTCATATTCTTCGAGTCTTGTCCAAGAACCCTCTCCACGAGGAACCTGTAGTTGCAAGGCAGTTTCTTCTCCCACAGCATGTCCGATTCCGACGCCCTGTGAAACGATTGGCTCACCCTCGCCAGCCGGCATATCTCCGGCGGCTCCATGTACGTTAACACGGCCGATATACAGTTTTCCGGCACGTCCCCTAGCCCCGAGGCCTGATCCGACGCTGCCAGATCCGACGATGAACCCGCACCCATCTGAATCAAAGATTCGATGATAATATGATATGATATGTTTGATTTTTCGATTCAGGATTTGGTTTTGATTTGTGGGAGGAGGAGAAAATATAGAGAGATCTGATTCGACATTTCTACTGTTCTTTCGTTCTTTGCCTAACGAGAGAAGCTATGGTTTTCTTGGGTTTTAAAAGGAGAGAGAGAGAGAGGGAGAGGGACGTGGGGCATACGAGTTGACGTGCATGGAATTGTATTTTAGTGATATTTCTCGTAAAGAATACTGTGAAAAGTGTATTGGTCCTATCTTTTTATACGAGAGGAAAATAAAATTAAAAATGTAATGGTGGGGACATTTACCAAACAATTGTATAAAAGAATACAAATGAACTTGGAAGGAAAGGGATTCCATGGCATATGTTCAAACCATATGGTTTCATGTGAATGAACAGAGCAATAATCTTTAAAAGAATATATATATATATATATATATATATATTATATATCATACATCATACATTTTTTTACCTGTAATCCCGAGTCGTAGTTGTCGCAGAAAGAAACGGGGAATGATGTGAACATATTTTACGGTGAATTAATATCATTAATTTATAAAATAATAATATTTTTATATATATTCAAAATTTGAAAGAAAAAAATATCATATTTTTGTGCTGCATCACTAAAATATATGTTAATATTTTTTGGGTTTTATGTTTTTATTTTGCAAACCCGTTGAACGGTTTCAGTGTTCCATTTGGTTACTAATTAAATTTTGTTTGTATTATACGATTTATTTGAAAATTATTGTTTTTTTAATTAGAAAAGTTTAATGAATGTCGTTGCCCAACCAACTCCACAAATCTCCTTATTTAAAATATTAACTATTTAGCAGGTAGGCATTCCGTCATACAATGAATAGCTTTTATAACATAAAATTTTGTAATTTTACATAAATATAAAAGAGTACAGTTCAAACTGCACGTGTCATTTATCTAATTTATACATTGCAGGATAGCAGGCTAAATCTTTACGGTAAACATTTTTTTTTATAGCCCTTTCAAATAAAAAATGATTTTGGGTATTCTATGATCCATCACCAAAGGATTTGAAGCTCAGCCATTACATATACATACATATATATATATATATATATGAACTATACAGCTAAATGATGTCTATATTCTAACTTACTTTTTAAAAATTAAATTCATATTTTATAATTGATTTAGATTTAAAAATTAAATTCGTTGCTCCTCTGCATACGAAAGTAAAAACAATTACATAAACCTTGTGTGTGTGTATATATATATATATATATATAATTCAAGTAGATATAATCGTTTGAAGGATATTATTTCATAAAAAACTTTTAATAATATTTTTTGTGACTTTAGAAAAAAAAATAGCCTAACGTTTTCAGGCAGCACACCAGACTTTTACCGGAATCGAATCCGGACGAACTACAAAAGCATGCATCTTGCGAGCTGAGTGGTCAAGAACAACGCCACGTCATCATTCTCAATAACTACGAGGAAAATATAAGTTTTGCTTCCATGTAATTATATCGAAATTTTTCATATTTTTTTATATTTTGTTTTGTTTCTCTCTCTCTCTCTCGTATTTGTTTCAATTTATTTTTCTTTTAAATAAATACCTCAAAGTCATAAGACAAAATCTAGTTAGTTTTCAAATTAAAAAAAAAACTTCTAAAATTAGTTTTGCACGACGAAAGAAAATTAAATGGTTAGATTCAGTTGTTTTTATTTATAATTTATAGATGACAGTTTATATGTTTTTTTTCTAAATTATTTATTGAAGGATATTTTATAAAAAAAAATCTCATAAAGTTTGAAAAAGATTATGAGATATATAGATTCATCAACTTATTTTCTTGTCGGGCCAACGAGCATTCCTTATTTAATTTCTCTTGTTATCATTAATTGATTCGATTTTCACAAACGATTCTAGGTACTTTTATTTTATGCAAGAGAAAAAAAAAAGAACTTTATTCACTATAATTTCTGGATAGGTAACAAAGAAATTAAATATTATTTCCAAGAAAGCCAATTAAAATGCAAATATATATATATATATAGAGAGAGATAAATTATACTTAGATTTTAAAATAAAATGCAGCAGCAGCTCGCGTTATCGTCTAGGCTTCACCTCCGCTTTGCATACGCAGCATATCTGCGTGCAGAGACATTTTAATACATTCTAATATTAGATAAGGAAATTCCGTATTTTGCACATTAATTAGTGTATAGAATACATAATAATGAAACAATATTTTTATTATATGATTATTTAGAAACGAATCATTAGATGGATACAAATACATTTACCTTTTTCTTCGCCAGCCATTCCGCGATGCAATGCTCGTGGTAGGCGTGACCACACGGCAAGGTCTTTATAGTATCCCCACTTTTGTACTCGGTGTGGCAAATCGAACACCTATTTCGAAATCGATTCAACAAATACAAAATACATAGTCGCGAATAAAAAATATATATTCGATGAAACCATAGTATATAGTTGAAAACTATCGATATTTTACATCTCGTCTTTCCTCTGAGATGTTTCGGAACCGAACTTAGAAGATGGCAATCGCGAGATTTCCTTCTTTCTCAATCCATTGCTTACGTCCCCTATCGATTCTTCCAGCTCATTCAATTCCTAACCAAATCCACGTGTATTAAAAAATATATACGCGAATCATTACAATATGTATGTATGTATGTATGTATGTATGTACCTCGTAAGTCATATTGTCGGGATCGATTTCGTCCGGAGGAGCGGGAGCAGAGTGGGAACTGTCTGATGGTGAAACTATGGAACTATTTCCATGGTCATGCGGCACATGCGTTGCACTACTTGTCTAAAACTTGGAAATATTTTTTCTTCTTAATAATAATTCTTACGTAATCAAAACGTGCATGGGTGTGCATGTGCGTATGTATGTACGGATGTATATACGATCTTTACCGAGGGAATGTCAAGATTTGAAGCCGGACTCACTGCAGATTGGACGTGAATATATGTCAAGAATTTATATTAAGAACGAGTTGTCGATATATATATATATATATATATGTATATATATGTATATATTCATGCATAGAGATAAATGTGCAATTACCTTCTAGGCCTTGGAATCTATGGGCTATGTCGTCTGATTCCGCTGTAATTGATTTTAAAGTACAACAAAACGTTAAGGCGACGGATAATAATGTGATCGTATTACTCATTTAATTACCAACATTGATAAAAAATTTTAATTCCGAAAAAATCACTCACATCCCTGCGCTTGTAACAATCTGGCGTATGCTTCGTCTTCGCTTATAGAATTTGGAGGGACTTGATCTGCATATTTTGATTTAAAAATAAAATGTGAATTTTTCATAAGTAGATAACTATAAAATAAAAAGAGAGAAAGAAAGTGACACAAATATACCATGTTTATACATTTATACATATTTATCTGGCTCGTGAGTCAAATATTAAAAAATGAAAAAATATGTTTGCGAATCAAATAAAAATAAAAAATATTAAATAAAATATTTTTTTTATAAAATAATTAATAATATATTTAAAATAATAAAAAATATTTAAAATTTATAAATCTTTTTAAAATTATTAAAAAATATGAAAAAAATAAAAATAATTTTTTTTCTGGTTCATGGGTCAGTTTGTGTGTTTGTCGAGTTGGCTCACGACGAGTTTGACTCGTGATGGTTTTGAGTTACAGATGGTTTTGACATCACTAGCAACATCAATATCTTAATTAAAATATATGATAAATAATAACAAAATATACCTTCCATGGATTGTAATTTTCTTGCCAGCTCTTCATCCACATTTTTTATACGATCATCTGCACATTCAAAAGAAAAAAAATAATCCAAAAGGGTCATTTGCAAAACAGGATTCCTTGTTGTAATCAATTTTACATTAGATAGATATATTCTAATATGCGGTGGGCGATTTGGTTTAATTTGGTTATTCTAATTTGATTCGCTTAACAATCTTGTCCCTCATATATTCAAAAACTTTATTCCACATTCGTATGAATAATACAAAAATTTTATAAAAAATTATAACAAATTCCAATAACATATAGAATTTGGAGGGACTTGATCTGCATATTTTGATTTAAAAATAAAATGTGAATTTTTCGTTATAAGTAGAGAAGTATAAAATAAAATTGCACCCCAAAAAAAGAGAGAGAGAGGAAGCGAGACAAATATGCAACATCTATATCTTAATTAAAATATATAATAAATAATAACAAAATATACCTTCCATGGATTGTAATTTTCTTGCCAACTCTTCATCAATATTTTTTACACGAGCATCTGCACATTCAAAAGAAAAAAAAAAACCCTAAAGGTTCATTTGCAAAACAGGATTTCTTTTTTAAACCAATTTTACATTAGATAGATCCGATTTGGTTTAATTTGGTTATTTTAATTCGATTGGTTAACAATCTTGTTCCGTCTACATTTAAAAAGTTTATTCCACATTCGAATGAATAATACAAAAAATTTGAAAAAAATTATAACAATCATAGTTAAAATCAAAATAAGAAATAACGAAACTAAAACAGATATAACCCGCCATATATTTATATATATAACATATAAATGGAAGATGGGTATAAACAATATAATCACCTTCTTCTTGTTGAATCCGTCTAGCAATGGCAGCATCGTCCTCGACGGCTATGTAGGAGTCATCGAACTGCAGAGCCCAAGCCAAGGCCTCGTCCATGGCCTCTTGGTCCGACCGTGAATTAGGGTTCATCGTCGATCCACGTGTCACTGCTCACGCAGAAACTATACAATCGATCTCTAATCGTGGATTACAATTTTGGAGATACTTTCATGTACTGGAACTATGTTGAAGCATTTATAATGTTTATATGCTTTTTTTTTTGTTGTATGAGAAGATCACAATCATTTGTCAATCATATTAAATGTCATTCGCACGCCTTGATTATATGAACGTGTGCTTTTTTTATACGTGATTTAATGGTGTATATATGTTTTTATATATTTATGTGAAGGAATCGAGGGTGATGCCATTAATTTTTCATGGAGATTTTGGTATCTTTAAAAAGTAATTATATATATATATATATATATAAATTAAAATTTTTGTCTTTGTAAATTGTATCACGTTCACGTATGTATATTGATATATCGTTAATATATTTGAACCCATCGACTTCAAACTTGACCCCATGGAGAATTATTATTTTTACTGTCAATATCTTATATAACTTGATTGTAAATAATAAAATATGCCATGTTTTTATTGGAACGAATGCTTTTGTAGCTTTTATTTTCAATGTGAATCTGCTGCTCATCCTTGTGACTAGGTCACACATTGTATATTCCATAATTTTCATTTTTCAATTAAGCAAATATTCAAATATGATAGTTCAGGTACCCATATGGGTCAAACCACTTTATTTTATAAATACATAAGATCTCAAGGATACATATTCGTCATAGAATATCGAAACTGTTCTCATATACCAATACGCGATCTTTCAACATATTTTGTTCTCATTCACACGAATATTGAGAGAGTTTAAGTTGTAAAAAATAACCCGTATATTCTCGGCTCGCATTGTCACAATAACCGTAATTCTCCCAGACGCCGTACTCGAATTATTATTTTTATTATAATACTTGTTTGATATGAATTTAATAAAAAAAAAATATTTATGCATTATCTATTTGATCTAAAAAAATATATATTTATAAAATTAAATTATTTAGATCATATATATATAAGACTAAAGAAGTGTCAAAATATGAATATTATTATACAAACTATGTATAAAATCGATATCAATGATATGTCATATATACTTATTATTTATTTATTTTTTTCATTCTTTATATGGCAGAAATTCCAAATACTGATCAACATAATAGAAGAATGTAAACCAGTATGATGCGTGCAAATCCCGGATTCCTGTTATATATATATATATATATATATATATATATATATATTACACATATAAGGTAAATGTAAAGGCACAAACAGATGAAGTCACAATTAGTATCACATGGTATGTTAATTAGTAGTTTGATTTGAGATATAATGATGTGATTATGCATTGATGCCATTGGCAAACATATGTAGATTCCATTTTAAATGATGCATCTCTTCCAGATTCTATATTAAAAGGGCCATTTATGAAAAGAATCACACCTTTTTAGAATGATTTTAATTATATGTTTAGCATGATATGCATGCACCTTCTGTAACTTGAAATCTGTTCAAATATGGATAAACTTGATTATATTTACCCAAAAAAAAAAATTACAAGAAAATTACATGATTAAAAGCAATAAAAAGTCAAAGTTTGGATACACAAAATCCATCTGATTTGGGCCAAACAACACATCATAAGACTAGAATTGAATTTGATATAAAAATCTAATGGGTATAATTATTTTTTTTAAAACTAAACCTTAAAAAGCTTAATTTAAAAAAAATATATATAAATATTTTATCAACTAAAACTGAAATTGAATTCGACCGAATAGAAACTAAATTTGATTAGAGATCGAATCCAACTAAAACCCAAAACATGCACATCCCTCGTAGAATCATTTCCAGAACACAGATTTGTACTTGTATGTTTTTGGTATGTCCTGATTTTTATAATTTTGCAGATCTAATTTGATTTTTTTTAAAAAAAAAATCTGTGGGGCCAAAATCAAACATGAGTAATTGCACTTTTATCATTAAATAGGCATTACTTTCATCCACCAGTTTTTTTTTTTTTGGTTATTTAATTAGCTTCAAATATCACTTCCACTCAAAAATAAAAACCAGTGACCATAAAGATTAAAAGACTTGCATTCTTGTAATACCCTCAGGCCAAGGTATGGATTTTTTCAAGTTCTTAACAAAAATTTGGTTTTAGTTTTCATGTTTATTATATACAAACCATTTAAATATCCATTAATCATTGTTTCGGATTCATTCGATTATTAATTATGCTTTTATAGTTATATAAAATCATAACCATGTTTATCTCACACACTTCCTAGTCTCTTGTTAAATATTTCGAGTTAGTAGTATTGTCTTTTTTTTAAATAAATTTACATATATATATATATATATATTCTAATATTCGAGTGGATATAATATCCATAGCTCATCCAAATTATATTCGAAAAGATTCGTATAAAAAGAATAGGCAAACATAATTAATAAAGATAACGGATAGTTGATGATCCGTGCCTTGGCACCGCGTTTGGACAGCAACACCGTGGCTGCTGGTATCCGCCGAATTACCGAAATACCCCTAGACGCCTACTGAGAGGCGCGTGCGCGCAACAGTCGCAAGATTGGCGCGTGAGGGTTCGTTGCTCGGCGGACTTCACGAACTCGTGTTTCGGAGAAAGTGGGCCCCACGCGCTGGCTGTTTTTTCTCTCTCTTTTCCCTCTCCTCTCTACAAAGATAAAAATGGCGTTTTGAGTTCTTTATACACACACATGTCGTTTTCATTATCGTCCAGGCCATATTATTATTATATGTTTGGAAAGAGAATCGCGAGGTAATGTGTATAGATACATGTATAAGCATACATATACATGTGGACTCTGTGTTCGTTGATTGATCTTCTTCTGCTAAATCTGAACTTCCTTCCGACATTGTTTCTGTATTCTTCTGTCATCTTCTTCTTCTGTTTTAGATCTCCAAAACGCTCATAAATCAGGGAAGAATTCCGAATTTGCTTTTGAATTTGTCGATCTGAAAGCTTTTTTTTTTTTTTTGAAAGTGATGAACTGATTGTTTATATTTGATGTCACAGTGACCTCAGTATTAAAGAATTCGGACAAAAGTTGTTTCTTTTTATATTATTTTGGTATTTTGGGTGTTGTTTTTGCTTCAGAGTCAACTGGGTCCGGAAGGATTTCTGGTTTTGAAAAATAAAAATGTAAAAAAAAAACCTTTTTCTTGATTCCCTCAAATCCTTTTTTTCTCGCCCTTTTTCCTCCTTCCTTTTTGTCCTCTTTTTTGAGATACTGACAAGAACTTGCATTTGGTCAAAATTGAAGCTTTTGTATTCTGGGTCTGAGTTAAATTAGGGTTTCCTTTTGGTTTTTTGTTTTACCCTTTCTGAAATTTTTGGGAATGAGAAAATTTTGGCTTCAAATGTCAAAGGGATGGCCTGAAAATTTGGGGACTTTCTTGTCCTGTTCCTTCAATCTCTCTCATCTAATAGCAATTTTTTTTCTAGAGAGAGAATCAGAGGTTTCTGGATGAAGGGCCGAGTCATATCATATTTCCTCATACGGCGTTGTATTTGAAAAGGAGCCACCTTTCTCTTTCTTTCTGCTCCCGTTCCAAAACACACCAAAAAAGATTGCATTTTTTTTTCTGGGCATTGCTTGAAAGCGTCAGAAACTTGATTAACAAGCAACAGAAATCGAACAGAAGGAAAAAAAATCTTGTCGCTTGGTGATACTGACACCCTCAGAGAGCTAAATCCACCATTAGAGAAAAGGTTCTTGCTTTGTAATGATGAGTTTTGAGGGTTTCAACAGTATCAGCTGTAACAATACGAACAGTTCGGCTGTTGTTTCAGCCACTGTGCCGAGTTCTGTCGTTTCCCTTCTTCCCGTTGTATGTTTCTTCTGATTTGGTGATTTTCTTTTTCGTTCTGTCGTTAGATTTCTGAGAAATGCTTTCCTCTTTGGTTGTCTCCTTAACTGGTGGGTGTGCTTGATACATGGTAGTGTCTGGACTGTTGCAGAGAGGGAAAATGAATGGACATGGTGATATTGGTCTGGGTGGAGAGAGTTTCGATCCGGGTTTTCTCGGGAGACTTAGAGATGATGAGTATGAGAGCCGGTCGGGAAGCGACAACTTCGATGCTGTGTCCGGTGATGATCAAGAAGCCAGAGGACAAGACAAAGGCCGGAAGAAGAAGAAGTACCATAGGCACACTCCTCACCAGATTCAAGAACTCGAATCGTATGTCTTTCTTTCCAGTTTCCTGACCAGCTTTGGTTTGACTCATCAGGGGTTTGGCTAACTGACAAAAAGGTTGTGTTTTTCCTGTTTGTTTCGGTTTCTGGGTGTAGATTCTTCAAGGAGTGTCCTCATCCCGATGAGAAGCAAAGGCTGGAACTTAGCAGAAGGCTTGCTCTGGAGACTAAGCAAATCAAGTTTTGGTTTCAGAACAGAAGAACCCAAATGAAGGTACTGTTCTGATTAGCTTTTTGTTTTGTTTTGTTTTCATCATAGGTTGTTTCTTGCTTTGATTGAAAAGTTCATGTTTTTCTTGGCCAGACACAACTGGAACGACATGAAAACGTAATCCTCAGACAAGAAAATGAGAAGCTTCTGGCTGAGAACGATTTGCTGAAAGAGGCAATGAGAAGTCCGGTATGCAATGCTTGCGGCGGGCCGGCTGTTCCGGGCGACGTCACGTACGAGCAGCAGCATCTTAGGTTCGAGAACGCCAGACTGAAGGATGAATTAGCCCGTATTAGCAGTTTAGCGAACAAGTTCCTCGGTAGACCGGTTTCGTCCTTGGTCGGTCCACCCCCTCAGCCATCTGGCTTAGATGTCTCGATCCTGGGACTTGCAACGGGAATAAACGGCGGAATTAGCTCAGATATACCGTTAGGCATCGATTTCGGCGACGGGCATTTGATGAAACCCCCGGGAGGGAACGACATCGTTTACGAGAGATCGATGTTTGTGGATCTTGCCTTGAAGGCAATGGATGAGTTGATTAAGCTGGCGGACCCGGACTGTCCACTCTGGATAAAGAACACTAACAGTGAGAAGGAATCACTAAACCATGATGAATATAGAAGTGTATACGCCGGCGCAACTTGTACCAGAAATCCTGGATTTGCAGCCGAAGCTTCGAGAGAAACCGGTGTAGTACTTATCAACAGCTTAGCTCTCGTCGAGACTCTGATGGATGCGGTATGACCCGATACACACACCACATGGTACAATAAGACACAAGATCAAACACTTGTAACTTATGATTTTTTTTGGTTAACAGAACCGATGGACAGAGATGTTTGAATCAATTGTTGCTAGAGCATCGACCATCGATGTGATATCCAGCGGTACAGGTGGATCCATGAACGGATGTCTTCAACTGGTACGTTTCTCAGGTACCCTTTACTTCGCTAAATTCGTTCCCAAAACTGGTGGATGCATGGAAGTCATGGTTGGAAGAATCAATGGTGATGACAAGTACCGTTTTTTTTTTGTCTGTTTTTTCGGGGCAGATGCAAGCAGAGTTTCAAGTGATATCTCCATTAGTTCCGACAAGACAAGTGAAGTTTCTTAGATACTGCAAGCAACACGCAGATGGCTTATGGGCGGTGGTCGATGTTTCTTCCGACATTAACAGAGACGGTCCAAACTTGCAGTCTTATGGTGGCTGCAGGAGGCTCCCCTCAGGCTGCATTATACAGGACATGGGCAATGGTTATTCCAAGGTAATTCCATGGACCGGCCTAGTCTCTGGTTCATGATTTGGTTTCTAGGTGGTCCCTTTAACCGGTTTGGTCTGGTTTAGGCTTAAAGATTCCACTCTAGGTGGTTTCGTAAAGCTGAAGTAGTAGCTAACCATAAAAGATCCATATCTCTAACCGGTTTGATTCGGGGTTTTGCCGGTTCAGCTGAAACCGGTTCAGGAACCGTATCAATATGGAGAATCCAATGCTTTGTGATTTGAGACTTTTGGGACACAAACCTGCCCGAGATTTTTCTTGACTTTCTTGAATCCGAATGATTAATTTATTCTGAAAACTGAGTGTTTTGTCCTAATGGGATCGACATTGTTCCTGAGAATCTGAAGCCTCCTCTATTATCTTATCATAAAAAGATGCTTCCTCTTGTCTTAAAATAAACAAAACTTGCTCAAGACTTGGTTTTCAAGGTGAAGCTTGCTTCTTGCCTCGTTCTTACCAAATCCAGACTATATATTATACACATATTTATTCATTTTTCCCCCCTTGAACTTCGGATCTCGGGTGTGTTATGGTCAGTAGATTTTGACATTCCGAGTCCTCGTGTATTGCAGGTTACATGGGTAGAGCACTCGGAATACGACGAGAGTAACGTTCACCATCTTTACCGCCAGTTACTGAGCTCGGGTCTTGGTCTCGGCGCTCAAAGGTCGCTCGCCACTCTGCAGAGACAATGCGAGAGTTTCTCGGCACTTCTGTCTTCTCTCAATCCCACCGACAATCACTCAGGTCGGATAACTTCCTCGGTCTGTCTTAACCTTCGGGACGAGATCTTTCCGAGAATCCGGTAACGATGGCTAACGTTTTCTGGGTTTAGGTTTGACCCCTGCCGGAGCCAAGAGTGTACTGAAGCTAGCTCAGAGGATGGGGTTCAACTTCTTTGCGGGAGTTTCCGGGTCGTCAGTGCGGAAATGGGAGAAGCTTCCGGTGGCAAACGTGGGCGAGGACATGAGGATACTGACCCGGAAGAACGTGAGTGACCCGGGCGAGCCATCGGGCGTGATCCTTAGCGCGGCTACATCCGTCTGGATACCTGTGGCTCAGCACAGGCTCTTCGACTTTCTCCGCGATCAGAACTGCAGGAACCAGTGGGACATTCTGTCCAACGGAGGTACGATGAACGAGATGGTCCGCATACCGAAGGGACGGCAGCACGATGGAAACTCCGTCTCTCTTCTCCGTGCCTCCGTGAGTAAAAAGCACTCAACTTTCCATGGTTACGACATCTGGTTTTCACCTGAAATGATATGAATCTGAATGTGTATGGCACAGCAGGGGATAGATCAAACGGAGAGCAGTATGCTGATACTGCAAGAGACATGGACAGACCCATCTGGTGCAATGGTAGTGTACGCACCGGTGGATGTATCGTCGATGAATGTGGTCATGAATGGCGGAGATTCTGCATACGTGGCACTCCTTCCGTCTGGATTCTGGATATCGCCAGATGGGTCGAAGGGTAAAGTGAAGAACGAGGTCGATGGGAACACCACCACCTCCACCAGCAACAACAATGGCGGATGTATACTAACAGTAGGGTTTCAGATTTTGGTGAACAGTCTACCGAACGCGAGACTGAACATGGAATCGGTGGATACAGTGAACAACCTCATCTCTTGCACCATTCACAAGATCAAAGGCGCTCTTCTTCAGTAGCTTTTGCCTAAAGTTAACCATCTTTCCTTTCCTTTCCTCTTTTCTGTTCACCTTTTTTTTTGGAGCTAAAGATAACGGAAGATGAGTCAAGAACGAACCATTGGGGGGTCTGTTGCGTGTTCCTCGAATGTTTCACGATTTTTGGAGGAAACGAGAGTTTAACGTTCTGTTTCATGTCTTCTGTCTGAAACTCGGTGGGGGTGTGGTTCGGGTATTGACTCGTTCTTGGATGCCATTAAGCTTTAACCCTTTAGGGCAAGTTTTTCCTGTTTTTTTTTTTTTAATTTTCGACAAACAGTTAAGTAAGATTTTGGGAATTTTAGATTAGGGTTTTTGGAGTATGAGACTTTTGTATGTTGTTGTGACTTTGTGATGAATTCGAGCATTGTTTCTGTTCTGTACCTACTCTCCGGTTCTCTCTCTGGTTTCGGTTTTGTTCAATCAGAGGACCCAATGGGCCCTAGAGTTATGGGCCTTTGGCCCAACATGGGTAACGACACAACTCAACGGCAGGACATCTACGTATGGAAACGTCAAACGGCACGGTGTCCTTACGTGTAACGAGAGCAACACAGTTAGTATGGGGTGGCTACGCAGATGCGTGCACTGATGCAGTGATTACCGTCGCAATTCGCAAATAAAAGAAAGAAAGAAGAAAAACAGGGCGCAGTTTTCGACCAAAACGCAGAAACAGCACGTAGTCACTCGAGATTGGTGTGGCGAGATCGAACGGCATCGGGGCTCTCACCCAAAATCTCCCCCAGCTTGTAAATCACCATCTCGAACAACACGAACATCGCCCCTTCGTACACACTCCCCATCGGGAGCAACGGCCTCTCCGCCGCATCTCCGCCGTCGTCCGCCATGGTCTGAGCCGGGATGTAGCACACCGCCGTCGCGTGCCTCACGGAGAACCCGGTCTCCGGCTGAGCGGTGAGGAGCAGAACCCTAGCGCCGGCGGATCTGGCCACGGAGCAGATGGCGTCGACGGTGGAGAATCCGCCGGGGCCGGCGGAGGCGATGAGGAGGTCGGCGGAGGAGATCGGAGGGGTGGTCATGTCGAAGACGAGGTGGGAGGAGAGGCCGAGGTGGAAGAGGCGCATGCAGAAGGCCCTGAGCATGAGGCCCTCGCGGCCGACGCCGTAGAGGAAGATGCGGCCGAGGCGGGAGACGGAGGCGATCTCCGTCGCGAGGAGGTCGAGCGGGGGAGGGTGTGGGTGAGTGGGCTTGGAGAAGACGGAGGCGATCTGGTTGCAGATTTGGGTCGATAGTTTTGAAACCTCGGCGCTCTTTTCGTCCGCCATGGATGATGATGATAACGATGATTGGTTGGAGATGCGTGTTCTGTTTTCAGATTAACGTATATTATAATTTTGGGAATTGTAGGGCCATTCAAGTACTAAACTAAACCTCCTTGCCCTAAATTTCGGGCCACAAGTTGCAAAATCGAATATTCCGAGGAGAAAAATATTTATCCACGGTGGAAAATGGGATCACTCACTCCCGGACGAGTTTCCTGACCCCGAAGGCCAAGTACAAGCCACGACTGAAGACCTCCCGACTCACCTCGGAAATCTCGTAGATCCCTCTCTTGACCTTGTCTCACCCTTCTGGTCCCCCCGGATTTGTAAAGGTTCGGTCTCGTCGTTCCTATTAACATGATCGTCATGTCGAGGTTTGAATATCCCGATTCCTTTTCTCTTTTTATTTCTCGGTTTTTCTTCTCTTTTTCCATTCGATTCTCATGAGAATCTAAACTACATCATGATAATGCCAGAATACTAACTCACGACCGGACTAAAACCGGTTAACTCCGGTTTTCTCCAACCAGAAAACTGATCACTAACTTGTAATTGTAAACAGAGTTCCAAACTCAAAACCGGCCCGGTTAACCTGGACAAGTCGATCAAATTAAATAGCAACCAACGAAGAATGCTGTGAACTTCCAACACCTAAATTGGCCACGGCTAAAACTGCTAACCATCTCGGAGAGGGTCATCAGAACGAGAGCTTATTTGCCGCGGATTTTGACTTTGAGAGTCCATTGAACGCTTCCTTCCGGCAAAGGGATAGACTTGGGGAAACGCAGAGGCACTTCATACTCTCCGAAAGCCGTCAAAGGAGATGCCAGATGAACGTTCTCCGGTTCAATCTTCACGCACAGCTGCCTGGCCACCTACACAAATAAGCATTTTCACTTCTGTTATTACCTACTCGCTCAATTCAAGCATGCCCGGGATATATATATACCTATGGGAATCTGAAGGGTCATTCATACTTATCAAAGATCTTATTACCTCAGCAACTATCTCTTCCTTTGTCACAGGAGTTCTTACATCTGGCTTGTCATCTTTTGAGGAGCGGTTTCGGAACTTTTCCTTGTCAACCAACCTCCTGAGTACCTATTCATCCGACATTCATGTCCTCAATTTCAAAATGTTGGATAAAGTTTCCAGTGAAGTAAAAGGACAAGAATGTTGCCAATTGGGAGTTAATAAGGGTATGTTAAATACCAGGTTGGCAGTAGCAAGACGCTTGGCAGCCTTTTCATATTCCTTTGTTGTGTCTTCAGTGCTTTTCTGAACCACCTTAATTTCCTCATCTTCTTCGCATTTGTAAATCTAATCAGATTTCAGGAAAAGAATCAAATTTCGGAAGAAACCCATCTCAAAATACCAAATAAAACACTGTAATACATTTGTTTGAAACGATCAGCTTGATGTTGTAATCAAAACTAAATCCCCAACAGGAAGAAGAAAGAGAATCAACAAAAACATACACATGGTGCTACAAACTCCTACAGTAACCTTGCAAAGAACAGTTTCCGGTTACCATCCAACTCGAGAGTTTAGTATCCGACCCACAAAGCAAGTCAAATTAGCAAAAATTGAAAGAAGACACAAATTCCACATTCAAGTACCTTGCGCTGCTCTCGGATGAGATAGGCAAATTTGTCTATGTTAGGGACAGCCAGAAGTTTGGGCATAAGGTGGTTACGGAAGTATCCTGGAGCCACTTTCACTGTCTCACCAGCTTTCCCAAGCTTTTCTATTGTCTGCAAAGACACATTAAACCAAACCAAATCAACACAAAGTGAAGTGAAACTAACCAACCAAACTCCCAAAACCCAACGAGCAATCAAATGAAACACTTCTCAATAAACCAGACATCTTTAATGATTCCCATCATCAATCTAAACTGAACTTTCTGGATCAGAACACTGACCGTCGTGAGAATAACCTCCAATTTTCTGTATCGAACCCCTTGGCATGCGAAAAGTAGCGGATGATGCATCATATTGTCAGATTTCTGGAAGCTTGTTCCTCTTGCAGCTACGTGCCTAATCACATTTCGGCTATGCAAAACACGAGCCATTTTTTCGATCCTGGGACACCAAATAAGGGAATCCAAGTAAGAGAACCCAAGTTTCATGGTCTCAATCAAACCCAAGCAAGAAACTTGTGCAAACAGTCAAAATCTAGAACTTGAGATTTCGAACAAAGTGAAGCAACTCCACATACGGGACTAGTAGCTTAAATCAAAGCCTCTTAATCACAAACTACGATCTTCAAGTCTCCCTCATTCCTCAATCCACTCCCAAAATCGACATAAAAGAGATTAAGCCGCATTCCAGGAAACCAAATCAACAATAACATCTCCCAAAAACCCTAGATGTACGGTTTGGTTGCAGAGAAACTACAAAATCGAACGCAAAAAAAAAAAAATCTTACACCTACACTCGATTCCCACCAATTTCGATCGAAGATTACCACCACAATCAAATCGCTCGATAAGAGAAACAAATAGAAACGAAGCGCGAGAGAGATTTTCAACGTACCTATTGGGATCGATCGTCTTTCTCCTCCAGCGGCTTTTCCCGATGGCGAGTTTCTAGACCTGCTTTTCCTCGAGTGAAAGTGGAATTTTCTCTGAAGAGTAAAATTCCATATTTACCCTCTCTTGAGCCCCCTAAATAAAAACCCATATACGGTTAAAGGATACACAACCGATGTATTCCCCAAGTAAGGGAGGGAATCTAGCCGTTCGTATGTTTGTCTTTGACCACAACGGCTCTATGATCCTGACAGGTGGGTAATTATTAACCGTTGGATTCATTAATTCCACGTGGTGAGATCGTGTGCGTCAGCGCTTGGTAAGGATACATTTGGAATTCGGTGTTTTGAGGTCTGGAAGACGGAGGCAACATCGAAAAGTGTAAACCGGAGGATTTCATCTTTTTCGGTCTCCCTCGAGTTCTTCATGCTTCTTCCTTACGGTAAGTGTTTTCTGATTCGTACGAGGGATGAGAAATCTTTGGGCATGTGAATCGATTTTTTGTAGGAGCTTGTGTTGTGTTGATACCTCTTCGTGATTTCTTCTTTGACCCATTTACCGATTTCTAGATCTAGTTTTCTAGTTCTAGTGTTGGAATTCGAATGCAATTTTTCTGATCCTTTGTGCTGGGAGCTGATGTCGGAGTTGAATTTGTCGTGTCGTGAATCGGGGATTCGTCTGAAGAAGACCGTGATAGTTCTTGGAAGTGAAGCTAATTTCTCCATTCAAATTGTGATGTGGGTGTTCTGGGATTCTAGTTTAGATCTGGAAATGATTGAAGATGGGAGCTTTTTTTTTAAATATTTTCAGATGCCTTTGCTGATTGATTGACTATGACCTTGATGATCTATTGTTCTCTAGGATTCTGAAGAGTAACGGTAATGATAAGCCCCTGGCTGTTCTAGTTCATTGAAATTGTCTTCTTTCTATCCTCAAAGAGGAGTTAGTTAAGGAGTGAAAAGCAGGAGGAAGGGATGTTTTCTCTTATTTATGGACTGTGGAAGTACATGGTCACTACGACTGAGTTTCATGTTCTCATTCTTGGTATCGATAAGGCCGGGAAGACGGTAATGCTTCCCTTTTATCCTCCTCCATTTCAATCTTTTCCTGGTGAATAGCTTTATCCTAAGTTTGAGGAGAAATTTACCTTTTCTTATATAGGCTGTCAAGAAATTGGTTGGTTATCCATGTTGAGGATTACCTCTAATGTATTGCTCATCTTCAATGTTTAGACATTTTTGGAGAAACTGAAGTCGATATACTCAATCTCAGAAGGTCTTCCTCCTGATAGGATTGTTCCTACTGTGGGGCTGAATATTGGCCGGATCGAAGTCTCCAATACTAAAGTTGTGTTTTGGGACCTGGGAGGTCAGGTAAACTGGATATCCATGTGAAGATTCTTTTCGCCTTTCATCTTTGTGATATCTGCATTACTGGATGATGCTTGTTTTTAATTATGGATTACAGCTTCTGGGCACTTTTATCCAGTTCTTCATTCCTTTCTAATCACATTCCAGTTTAATGTCTACTATCCTGCCTTCACTTTGGCACCCCTCTCTGTATTTTATTTGAATTTTTGTGCTTGTTCCTACATAAACATTACATGCTTAGAAAGTGGTATTTGTTTTTATGCTCAAACCCTCTTATCTGTGAGAAGTTCTGAACGAACAACATATAATCATTCTGTTCAAATAATTGTGCAACTTTTTTCTTACTGCAGCCTGGATTGCGGTCAATCTGGGAGAAGTATTATGAAGAAGCTCATGCATTGATATATCTAATTGATGCTGCTTGCCCGTCCCGCTTTGAAGATTCAAAATCTGCTCTAGGTAAGTGTTTAATACAGTCCAATTCCGCGTTTCAGTTATAAAAACTAACGCTGACATGTAAATCGTCTTCACCAGAGAAAGCCCTACGACATGAGGATTTGCAAGGAGCCCCTCTTTTGATATTGGTGAACAAGCAAGTGGGGAATTACGATTGCCTTTCGAATACATTTTGGATGTCATTGTTTCATTTATAAACATAAATTGGAGACGTTGATATTCTTGATTGAATCCGGCAATGCCATGCTTGCAGGATCTCCCTAATGCTGTATCTGCTGAGGAACTCGACCGTTACTTGGATATAAAGAAATTGGATGAAAGGGTTTGCATGTTTGAAGCTGTTTCAGGGTTTGACGGGTAAGTGAAGAGAGCTTAGTCAAACACCAAGTAGTAAAACATGATCTAACGTAACAATTTGCAGGCGAGGAATCAGAGAAAGCATGGAGTGGCTGGTCGGGGTGATGGAGAAAAGCAAAAGAAGCGAAATATTAAGGGCCCGTGCAGGAATCAGGACGACGTCCTAGACTGGAAGAAAGCACACTCGGAAAGCTTGTGTAGATAATAAACCATGGTTTTGGCTGTACCACATGAGTAGAGTTCTAGCAATCTTATAACTTAAACCATAGCAGGTGTCTTCTTTTATTCTTTAAAAAGTTCATGATAGGATTTAGATTTGAGATTCCAATTTGAGATTTTGAGGTAATGATTGGGTCTAGTCCCCACTGTACTGCAAAAGCTGATGCCACATCAAAGATGAGGACAATTAGTACAGTGATAGTTTACAGGTTGAGTTTGCAGTGTATCAAGGCTCCGAATTTCAGAACCTATAAAAGTCAGTGGTGCTCATGCTTTATTTCCCACATACCATAAGTTCATTTATGTATCATGTAAATCATCATACATCCATCTGATGATGAGAGCTGCAGAGAGAGCATTCATGTGTATTTATTGTGTTAATTAAAAAAAAAGTGTACATCAGAGTATTTTGCTCACATCAAAAGGTACTGCACTTAACTAGGTTGGTTTCAGAATGGGCATATTTTGAAAGAGGGTAGACTAATCTAACTTTACATTGATATATAAAAAAGGTAGAAAAATTCTCCCCCAACCCCAAAAACCATTTTTATAACTCCTTTTTGGAACTATCATACATCTTTAACTCGACCAATATGGATCACCTGTCTGAAAAAACGAGAGAATAGAATCGAATCCTATGATGAAATGAGGTCGGGGTTTCTGTTTCTTCTACCTGGTTAACTCTTCTGCGATACTCCTAGCAAGGTTTAGAAACCGGGAAGCTTTTCCAGGGCCTTTTTCTGATAGAGCATACCTCATGTTCGCAAAGAAATCGCCTAATGCACGGAGAGATCCTTCTGCAGTCCCTGAATCTGATGTTTTCGGTTCTTGGGGTGATTCCATGAGACACTTTGGTCTAGAACCATTTCTCTCTCTTTTGCATACCTCTGCCTCTAACTTTGCAGCCATGGATATGGCTCGATGTATACATGATGATGGTATCTGCATTCACTCATAGCTGCGGGATCAGCTTAGCTTAATCACTTCATGGGCATGCATCTATCTATTCATGTTTCTTATGCAGCTTTGTATGCCAATGTTTTGATGTATGTACCTATAGAGGTGGAATATATATATATATATAGTGTATATGCGTGCATATGTGCATGAAACCAGCGGAAAGGGGGGATAATTCACCTGGGCAAGCTGTGCAACCTTGAATCCAAAGCTTCTCTGGGAAACACCAGGGACAAGTTTATACAGGTAGGTGACATCATCACGACTGACACTGCCTGTATCATTATCCGACGTAAGATAGGAGACATGGTACGTCCCGACAGAACCTGGAAACTCATTTACAATCTCGGCTATCTCGGGGTAATGGGTGACGAAAAGAACCAGACATCTCTTTTCCGCTAAAAGATGGCGTAGTGTGGCATAGGCAATGGCTACACCGTCATGTGTGCTGGTGCCTCGTCCAAGCTCATCTATTATGACCAGTGAACGACAAGTACAGTTTCTGATTATCTGAGAGGCTTCACTTAATTCTTCTAGAAACGTACTTCTGCCTTGTTGGATACTGTCTGAAGCGCCCATACGTGTAAAAATCCCATCAAGAACGTATAATTTAGCGAATGAAGCCGGTACAAAGGAACCAACCTAGCAAGTGTCAGAGGCAGCATCTTTGATTAGCCTTTGAATATATTTTGAAGATAACCAGAAAGATTTTCCACTAGTAAGAATTTTTCATGGAACTTTGCGAGACAAAATATGTAAGGACCGCATATCACAACAGATAGAAGGTTATGTCATTCATGTCCATGTTTTACCTGAGCCATGATGGAAACTAAAGCAACTTGACGAATATAACAACTCTTTCCACCCATGTTTGGCCCTGTGATGATCTGACAATACTGACCTTCTCCATGTAATCTCGTGTCATTTGGAACAAAATTATCTTCTAATATAGTCTCCAAAACCTGGAAAGCATCAGAAGAAAACAATCTCACAAAAGCGTCATTTTCTAACTTAGTTTGTCAGAGAAAGAAAAAGAAGACCCGAGAGCAGATACGTACAGGGTGACGACCAGACAATATATTTATCTGAACTGGTTCATTGTCATTCACGAACTCAGGACGAACGTAGTTCTGCTGGGGATTAAAAAACAAGTGAGAAAGATATAGCTATAAATCAAACAGTTCTGACCAGAAAGGCATATGTTTATAGTTCCTTCTTTCAGCAAACCTTGTTTCTCGATAGAGTAGCAAGGGCGTGCAAACAGTCCAATGCAGCAAGGGCTTGAACAGCAGCCTGAAATTCTGCATAGTATCCACCAAAGCTCTCAAGAAAGTTATCCCAGGAAGCTCGGCTTACAATGGCAAGATGTTCAGTTGCTAGAGCAAGCTCATCCAACCCGTCTACTACTTCTGGGGGATGATATCGAATAGCCTTTTTGGTGCTATTGACTTTTACCCAATTCAGAGGGACCTTGACATTAGTGGGCAGCTGCATCAAGCAACAGGGGGACTTAGCTCTAGCTCATAGACCAAGGTCCCAGACTTTATAAACAAAGAGACTTTGGTATGATAATATCAGGTTCAGTTTCAAATAGTGTAATGTCAAAAAAATACGCATTCTTGCTATTACAGAATGGTCGTGTCAATAGAAAGTAGGATTTACTCGTGAAATTGTCGCATGAAGTGGGGGATAACATGGTTGTTTAGCTAAAGCTAGGAGTTTAATGCTTATTTAGCAGAATATTTCAGTAACCAACGCACCTCTATCATATGAGTGATTCCAGACACATTAAGAAATTCCAGTTTATGAATCGAAAGCTTCTTGCGATACAAAACTATCAACGAATCCAGCTTTTCCCTGGCAACCAGAACTACTTTGCGAGCTTCAGCAAGCTGTGCAACACGGATAAATACAAATTGGATTATGAAAAGAAAATATCCAAATTCCAAAATAAGAAGCTCCATGATGCACACGAAGAAAAAAAAAACCATAAAGAGAAGCTCCTAAGAGAGTATCAAATTAGGTAATATACAAACCTCAGGGAATAGGTCGGTGGAAGCAATTAGTATGTTGTGTAAATCCCCTTGATAAGCAGCTTCCTTGTTCATGGCAGACAGGAGTTTTGCAGCATTGTCGACCACGGCCGGGGATGAAGCAGTAGAAATCAACTTTCTCAACAGCGAAGATCGCACAGTCACTGAAGCCATCGTCTTACTTTCATACTCTTGTTTTACGTGGAGGCACTGAAGTTGTTTGCCAGCATGCAAAGTAGCTTGGATAACTGCAACAAACTTTATCATACGAAGAGTTCAGATCCCTTGGGTATGGAAGATCAGTAAAGCGAGGCTAAATTCAGTATAGCAACAAGAATCCTATATCTTGACAACAACATTTCTTCAACAAGATTTATACCATCCTCAGTTATTTCCTAGCTTACTTCATTAACAAGAAATCATTTACGGAAAAAGTTTGTTAGCGATATAACAATGGTGTATCTCATGCTTGGGATATTGAAGCAAGCATATCCATGTACAAATTTTCCACGATAGATTCTCTAGTAGTATGATTTATTTATTGAACAATGTCATTCAAGATCAGAACATATAAGAAAGCAACGACGGGTCAAATGTCACCTCTGAGGCTTTAGCAGTCCGATGAAAGATTCTTGTTATTCCACGCTGAATATCAGGTGATCTAGACAAAGTTGTCAAGACTGAGCACAGCAAGGAATAGAATTCAGGACGCACAAGTGTTTCTCCAGAATCTTCTTTATCCGACTCATCAATGATCTGGGAAGAGCTATGAGATCCCATGCAGGCAGCGATTTCAGAGACAGCATCTAGACGAGCAGATATCATGTTTCGATCACATAAAGGATGAGTAACCTGTTCAGTGAGATAAAAGAGCCCTTATATCATTACAAGCTAATTTAAATGTTTGCACGATGTAGCAAACAAGCAAGAACCCGATCGGGAAGTAAAGAAAGATTATCCACTTAAAACCAAAAAACCAACTGAGATCTTATTTGTGCATTTGAATCGATTAATACAAGTTGTTGTCTAACTGTAGTGCAGAAATGGGGTACTTACTGAACAAAAATAGTTTGTAGCATCCATTAAATTTCCAAAATTTCAAAACTCACAAATAATGGCAACTTCCAAAGCCCCAATATGAAGAAATTAACAGGAGGGGGGAAAAAACCTGTATCTTACCCAGTGTCTCAAAAGCCTCGAACCATATATGGTAAGCGTATGGTTCATAATATGGAATAAAGAACCAAACTCAGATCCATCTGAATTATTTCTCAAAACCTGAAATAAATATAATTATCTGAGAAATGCCTAAAAACCGTAATGCTAACTTCCACATTACGACATGCCAAAGGAAGCAGATTGCAAACCTCTAACTGTTGCAATGTATTGGCCGAGAGGGTCATCTCCACTTTGTTTGAAAGAGAACGAAATGAAGCTCCAAGGCAAAGGATCCTCTGAAATCCAAACTCTTTGAGATGGCTAAGCGTCAAAGAGAGAGCTTGAACAGCCAAATCAGACATGTTCATAACGGCCTTCACCATCAACAAAGCCATTAAGAGAAACAAGTTAGCAGGAATTTGAAACTGCGAGCTTATAATTCTCTTTCTTAAATGGATGAAAAAGGAAACGGATATACACATACACATCAGACAATCAGCCAAACCTGAATAGCTGAGCAAGAAGAATTTTTTATTCCTTCTTCAGCAACCTCGATCTTGTTTTCTTTATCATCTGCCAGATTGCTTGCACTGAGATTTTCATATTGCGAAATAACCTCAGCAAGTGCACCGCCATTGCCGAACCGTTCCACTGAGGCACGTTCCACTCGGATGTTTGAAGCAGGTCCGGCATAGGCCAATAAGAACTGACAATCAAAGATGCTAAACAAATATCCATCAAGTCATTTAAATTACATTATCATATAAGTTGTCCTGTAAAACTGGTTGAAGCACAAAGTCTTGAACTTTAATTAGCGTATGAAACCTAAAAGCTTGGCTAAGTAACTAGCATCTCACTTATGATAAGCCAGCAAATTGCAATTTACCTTCTCGGTCTGCTTTGAAAGAGGCTGGCCAAGCAACAACTCAGCCGGTGACAAGCTCAGAATCACAGCCTCCAATCCACTCCTCATGAAATTATCATAAAATTCACCATGAACAACATCACCAGTTGAAACTTCAACACCAACAATACCGATTCTAACATCAAAACCTGCCTCAATACCACCACCTATGGTCTCCGCCTTAACAATCTCGTCAACAACACAAACCAAGTAGTTGCTGTTTCCACTGCAACCTTCCACTCCACCACCAAAACCATCACTCATATCCTCAGCCGCCGCAAGCGTGGCTTTGGTGTATAAGGCCGACAGTTCCCGGCAAAAGGGACCGTCCCGGTTCGACCCGTGAGCCTTGATCGCCGCCGTTTCGGTCTGTTTCACCAGACCCACCTTGTACCCTGCATTGACTAGTCTTCTCACATGGACATTTAGTCGAAAAATTGGTATGCTCGCCGTCATGAAACTATGATCCATGTGAGCATAGATACCCAACACGCGTGCTGCGACTTCAGCGTCTTGTTCGAAGAACCTATACCTGTAACCCACTTCCACCATCAAAAGCACATCCGGGTACTTCCTCTTAAGCTCCACCACCTGCTGCTCCAATGGCGTGTATTTCCTCGAACTCGATGCTTCTGCCCCGACTGCCGAAGCAGAATCGTCGATACAAGGTTCGAGAAGCTTCTGAAGGAATCTCTGGTGTAGATTTGGATCAGGTATGGGGTTTTGAGTATGAGGAGACAGTTTCGGCTTCTTCGGTGACAAAGCAACGAGGTGATCCGAGAGGAGCTTGCGTTTCGTTGGTGAGAAGGAGATAGTGGCGGTGATCTTCGGCAGCGGCTTCGTTTTCACGACCTGTTCACCGGCCGGTTCCGCCGTCGGCGATTGCGGCGGAGGTAAGGATTTGGGTTTAGGAGCGAAGAATCGCGAAATCACCTGCTGCTTTTGCTTACCCATTAATCGCCAACCGCTTCTTCGTCTTCCTCCACTTTCCCACACACCAATGTCGAATCAGTCGAACGTCGTGGCTATGGCGGAATGATCACCGATTTTCGCGCGTTTTATTCGGCTTACACCGACCGACGAAGCGACGAGGACAGGGGCAATTGCAAAAATACCTTAAATGTCGATTTCACTCACAACCCATACACTCGCCCATACCCTCGCACAGTAAAAGAAAACGACAACATAAGATATACCCTTATAAATATATCCTTTATTTATATAATATTATAATATACTAAAATAAATAAAATATAGATCTATTTTTTATCCCCATTTTCTCTCTCCTCTTTATCGTTGTCTCCCGCCATACATCGTATTCTCTCTCTTTGAGTTTTTCTTCTTCTCTCTCTTGAATGTCTCTTCTCCAGCACGATTTTTTGGTAAATTTGCTAACCGGAGGATCACTTCACACGAGAAAAGAGCGTCTTTCTTTGTTTGTTTGGTAATCCTACAAGCGCTCATATCATATCCCATGTTGCATTCAAATGGGGCAATTGCAAAAATACACTTAAATGTCTTAAATGTCGATTTCACTTACAGCCTATACCTTCGCACAGAAAAAGACAACATCAGATATACCTTTATAAATATAGAATACCTGTAATAACCTTCTTTTATTTATATAATATTATAATATACTAAAATAAATAAAATATAGATCTATTTTTTTATCCTTATTTTCTCTCTCCTCTTTATCATTGTCTCTCGCCATACATCGCATTCTCTCTTCGAGTTTTTCTTCTTCTCTCTCTTGAATGTCTCTTCTCCAGCACGATTTTTTGGTAAATTTGCTACGAAAAACAAGTAAAATCTCCAAGAAACTCATCCAATAAACGTAGATGTAGTGGTATTGTCGCTTATAGTGGAAGAAAAACGAGTAAGTGGAAGGTCTAAAAAAAACCGATTTTCTAGATCTGGTGAGACTCAAAAAAGAAAATCATGTTCGGTAGGTTCGGTCAGTACATCAATGATGTCACAGACGTATGAGTCATAATATTATGTTCGTGCATGTAATGACATTATCAATTCATATTTGGACTAATTCACTCGTGTATTATATGGTAAAAACAGTCGTCAAACTGATCAAACTCGTCAAACTCATCGTAATACTAATCAACTCATAACACTGGTCAAAGTCGTAACACGCATTCGGGGTTTCATGTTTGGGGTTTCTGAGTTTGACGAGTTTGACGTGTTTGACGAGTCAACGCGGTCAAACTGTGGTCAAAATGACATTCTGATGGTTCAAAATTGTGTACAGAGTCTATTATGACGTATTGAACGTGTTTTTGTTATAAGGAGAGCATCTGGGAAAATGATAAATTCTACCCTAGACCAATGTGTAACATAAAGTGTAATAGAACATTAGGGTTTCGTTTGGGGGAACATGCATTGCTACACAAAATAAGGTGCTAAATTTAGATAGCTGCGATTATTATTTACTTATCAAATTTGTTATACGAGGTGCTTATTAATATTTTTGTGGTTCGCAATTGATAAATTCGCTAAATCAGAGAGTTTGACGAGTTTGACGTGTTTGACGAGTTTGACATGTTTCACGAGTCAACGCGGTCAACCTGTGGTCAAAATGACATTCCGATGGTTCAAAGTTGTGTACATGGTCTATTATGACGTATTGAGCATGTTTTTGTTATAAGGAGAGCATCTCAGAAAATGATAAATTCTACCCTAGACCAATGTGTAACATAAAGTGTAATAGAACATTAGGGTTTCGTTTGGGGAAACATGCATTGCTACACAAAATAAGGTAATAAATTTAGATAGCTGCGATTATTATTTACTTATCAAATTTGTTATACGAGGTACTTATTAACATTTTTGTGGTTCGCAATTGATAATTCGCCAAATCAGAGAGTTTGACGAGTTTGACGTGTTTGACGAGTCAACGCGGTCAACCTGTGGTCAAAATGACATT